GAAGACCGTTTAAATTTAAATTAGGAAAAAAGCAACTGCATTGTCTTATTTCAAGTAGTCCTTATTTACTGATAATCTGATTTTTGATGACAATTATTTCTACTGGATTCTACTTAGAGGTATTAAAGAACGATGATAGGTGAGAAACTTCAAGGTTTATACATACTTATGCAAAGCTTTGTATAATGGCTGTTAAATGTGTTTTTAGAAGCTTTAAAGGAATATACTAAATCTAATTATATATACATATTGTGGTTTAGTGATAACTATACAACTACACAAACCTGTACCACCATCTCACATAGTTTTAAAAATGCCAACTTGCACTATGTGTCTGTTTCAACTTCCTGGAGCTAAATCCTGTATGGCATTACATCCTGTGCTAATGCTGAGTATGAGACCACTGTGAAATGCATCCACTTCTTCCACTGTCCCCTAACAGGGCGAAAACAATATGATATATCAAGTGAAAAAATGACCAATGTGCCAAAGATCTGAAAACACATCAAATGGCAGCCCAGACAATGAAGCATAAGCTGTCTTATTATTGTCCTGAAGGATACATGGATGGATGCGGCACTCTGCTTTACCTCTGCCCTCAATTAATTCTCATGAATCCAGCCACCATGCATTAATAGGGCCAGATGCTAGGATGGATTCTGTTGGGAGCAATGACATGCAACAAAGTGATATGAATCGCCGCCCCACACACGGTATGCAGCAGCAGCTTGCTCTCTGAGGGCCTGCGACACACTTAACAGAAAAAAGGCAAAACAAGACACCGTTTCCTAAGAATGGATGAAGTGTCAACAACAGACAATGTGTTTGGCTTCAAAATGAAATAAAGATCAATGCATATTCTGCTCTTTTAGTTAATATGTTAATATCAGATTCAATGAGACCAGATATGCAAATTGTAGGCTCTGTTCCGTGAGTCAGGCTAGACTCAATATTCAAACAAGAATAATTATCGGTGGATTAGCCCCTTGTTGGCTTGGAGAACTCCCCTTGTCAACTGACTCTCTTTAGAAACTGTTTAATCATTGAGATAGATGCAAGACCCTGTAACTCTCGCTATGTGTGACCCGACAGTTGTTATATCTCTTTGTTTTCGAGTTAAGAGGCATTTTACAATTTGTCATTGTCTCTTTTAATTCATGAACCCTCTAATGCTTCCTTTGGACTGCATTTTCAAGGTTATGTTAGAGAGTTTGCAACATTGAAAGGTCTAGAGGGGAATGTAAGAGTTTGGTCCACACTGAAGGTTGACACCATGAAATAAAAGCAACGAGTGATAACAAATTGTCGCACTTTGTCCAATAGATTTATTTCTAGAAGTAATATATATACCAGTGTTTAGATGCAACGTCTGTGTGAAATCAAGACCTAAATGCAGAGCAATAAACCAACCAGAGCAGCTCAGAAGACCATTAGTCAGTGAAGCAGCTTAGTATATCATTGGAAAAAACCTGCAGATATACACTGCTCAGGTTGGATAATCTATTAACTGAACAAACACTGAAGTTTGCAGCTTGCCACAAGCTATATAGTGAACATAGACCTACATAAAACAAAAATCTGTTGCAGAATACCAACCCCACCCCCTCCTGATACATGGTGGTGGCTTAATCATGCAGTGGGGATTCTCTACTTAGCAACAGCAGTTAAGCTGCTCAGGGCCCATTGGGAATGCACAATTTGCAGAAGACCTTACGGCAACAAACCTCAACATACTATTACTAAAGTGGTTGGGGTCGAACCATATTTATGTGTGTAAGGCTATTCATCATAGGCCTGTTCAAAAAAACAAAATAAATTAAACTAAAGACCATTCCACGCATCCTCCCCCCTTTTAATCACAATATCTATATCTAAAAATCTCTGCTGCTAAATACATGAAAACCTACCCTACAGCAGAAAAGGGTTTGTGGAAGAAAAATACAGCTACGCATTGGAGGAACATAATATTTATCTTTAACTCCTGTTCTCTTAATTGGTATGAAGAGGACAGTCAGATAGACTGTAAAACTGTGACTTACATGCAGCTTTATAAGAGAGAGAGATGTATATTTTATAAATGTGGCAACAAAACCCAACTTGTCGACATCATAATTATCAAACGATGTCTCCCTTTCAGGCTTACAGTTGTTTATGGCTGTATACTCAACTGACAAAATAAATTGCTAACTGATTTTCTTTAAGGACCAACCTCAACATAGTGTTATTTAGTGTTTTAATCTGCAGCAGAAACAAAACCATCCACCATGGATCTCCATGTAATGCTCATGTTGACTTTATATTGTTATCTTTGCAGCCCTGGTCCATCTGGACTCTACTTCTGGGTGGCATATCTTATGACACTCGCAGATGTATAGATTTAATTCTACAAATGGCCTGAGATGTCAATTAAACCAAAATACCCTTACAGCACACTAGCTGGGACTCGCACAAGCTGAAACAATTCCCATTTTCAGTCTCACAACCTTTTTATGGGCTTCTGTGCAATTTAGTGTTTAATGAGACTTACTGTATGTGGTTCACCAATTTAGGGAGACAATTGCTCTTATGCATGCTCAGGTGGACTTAATAGGCTTACAAGAGTAAAAATTGGATTGGGTTCACATATTCTTCGGAGTGAGGCTCTTATTATGGGGACGTATTGTTTGAATATAACTAGGGCATTTCTTGCTAAAGGTAGTCCAAACAGAAACAATGACAGTGATTATTTTTCAAAAGGAAGCTCTTCTGGTTTAAAAAGTCATAGCATTATTATTGAATTGCTCAAAAAAAGCCTTAAATTGCACAAAAAAGTCAAAAAAGATTGAGACTATAATTCCAGCTGTATATCCGTCAGTTCATTCCCTAACAGAAACCTGTTTAAAATATCCACAAAGCTTCTGTTTTTATTCACTCCGGTGGAGGTGTTGTCTATACACATCCTGTTGATACTATATACAAGATCCATACTGCCACCTGTCCTTTTTTTCACAGCCTTTCTGAAGACAATGAATTCTTGCCTTAAAACAACAGAATTATCTGATTATATCCTCTGCACCATAAACACTGACATTTGAATTTAAAGAGATTGCTAAAGATAGTTTGGAAATACCTCACAAAGAAGAAAATTCCTCTTATAGATCAAATGCAAATCACATATTCAGGATTTGTCATAAAGATTAAAAACAAAAAAACATTTTTTGGGATGGTTATAATTTGCCAGCAACTTACATGCAGTATTTTGGGGTTTCTGCTGAAAACAAAGGGTATCTAACCCAGCATCTGAAATTTTTAAATACTTTTGAATTTGCTTTTGATTTAATTTTTAATTCAAATTCACACACAGATATATGAAAATAAACTCCCTTAACTTTAAGTTCAGTTTCTAGATCTGGATACATTTGTTAGAGACTGTTTCAGAGATTCGGTATTTTAAAGAAATGTATGAAGTATTAAGTCATAAATGGTCAAATAGATCGTTTGGATTTTAATTTTTTAAGTCCTAAATGTGGTGCAGTTTGCTTTTATATAAATAATCTGACTGCCAAAATCAAAATCTTAGTCTTACTATTGAAAAAAACTCTGATTTTAGATCAATTTAATGCACATATATTAGACAAAAGAGGTTGTTATAAATTTGAAGTTGCTGATTTTACATTTTAAGTGTTTTTATAGTGTTCAATTTCATTATCAAAGCATTAGATCTTTCAAGAAATATCCACCTGTACTTAGAAAAACATAGAAGCCAAAATATCTTCAACTGCAGCATGACATAAGCGTTGACTTTATGTAAGCAATAATACACGTTCAAGTGAACAGTTTTAGAATGGTTTTAAAATGGGCTTTAGATGTAAAAATAAAAAGTTGTAAGTTTTGTCTGCGGGTAGACGATTTTAGCCAGTAGTCCGATAATTTTTTTTAGATGTAGCTATGAACAGGTAACAGGAGGGTATGAAAATAAGTCTTGC